TGTACAGTTTTTGGCATTGCCCTTCTTTGGGATTGGAATGTAAACTGATCTTTTCCAATCTTGTGGCCACTGTTGAGTTTTCTAAATTTGCTGGCATATTGAGTGTAGCACGTTAACTGCATCATCTTTTAGGATATTGAATAGCTCAGCTGGAATACTGTTTCCTCCACTAGCTTTGTTGTTGCTCAGACTTCCTAAGGTCCATTTGATTTCACATTCCAGGATGTCTGGCTCGAGGTCAGTGACCACCCCATCATGGTTATCAGGGACGTTAAGCTCTTTCTTGCATAGTTCTTCCATGTAATCCTTCCACCTCTTCTTAATCTCTTCTGCCTCTGTTAGGTCCCTGCCATTTTGGTCCTTTATCATGCCCATCTTGGCATGAAACGTTTCCTTCATATCTCCAATTTTCTTGAAGAGATAGCTAGTCTTTCCCATTCTATTGTTTTCCTCTATTTCTTTGCACTCTTCATTTAAGAAGGCATTCTTATCTCTTATTCTCTGGAATTCTGCATTCAATTGGGTGTATCTTTTCCTCCCTCCCTTGCCTTTTGCTTCCCTTCTTTCCTCAGCCATTTGTAAAGCTTTCTCAAACTGCCATTTTGCTTTCTTGCATTTCTTTTTCTTTGGGGTGCTTTTAGTTGCTACCTCCTGTTGCAAACCTCACTCCATAGTTCTTCAGGCACTCTGTCTATCAGATCTAATTCCTTAAATGTTGATACGTAGGTATGTGGGTACTTCAAATGCAGTAGGGTACGGGAGCACAGGTCCCTGATCCAAGAGGCACACACTCTAATGGCTTACAGGAAAGAAAGCATTTGCCCAAATTTACCTACCAGGAAGCCAAACATTTAAAACTACCTTTCAATGTTAGAACATTGCTAAGACCAGTACTGTTCACTCTGTTTGACAGGATCTCTCCAGGATCTCTGACAGATCCCTCTACCAAGGATCCTTTTAAGAGGAAATGCTAGTATTCAACCCAGGACACTGTAATGCAAGGTGTGTTTTCTCCCACTGAGTTACAGACACTCCACACAGAGCTTCCGACAGAGAGACAGAAGCAAATGGGCTGAGAGGTCAACATATCCTCTTCCAAGCCACATTAATGCAAATCCTAATGTTGTGTTGGAAGCCAGGGCTCCCTTACTGCAATCCTGATGATCAGTTCCAGCCGTTTTTGATACCCTATATTAAGCTGCTGGATATGCATCCAACATGCTGGTAACTCATCAGGCAGCAACCCTCAGCCCAGACCTCCTGCGCTGGCTCCAAAACTGCCAGGACTTCAAGCTGAGGTGGAATTACTCATGGAGGACAAACCACCAAGGTCCAAACCCCAGGAGGGTCGAGCTCAGGTCTCTCACTATTTGAAACACACTATGTGACAGAGAAGGCTGTTAAATTCTCCAAGCCATCTCAAGAGTACATGATAGAAAGCACAGTACAAAGCCCATTTAACAGCACATTCAGGCCAAATTCTCTCCCTCTTTGCTTGAAGAACAGGACCATCACCAGGTAGTCCTCTCTCTTAAGCTCTGGATTTACTGGATCAACACTGTTTTCTTCCTGGAGTTTCCACAGAGTCCTGCAAGCCAGAGTCTGATCCTGCTTCGCTGCAACAGTTCTTTGGACCTGTGGTCTGAAACCTCTTACCTGCTCCCAAGTCACTCCAGCTTAAAGAAAGTACCTGCCAGGTCTGACTTAGCATCTCACAGGTTCCACAGCCTGGGTGGTCAAGGATACCATCTATGGATACCTGACAGTTGGATTTTGCTTAACACTGAGCCCTGTTAGGAATGGAAACTAGCAAGCAGCGGGTTACTCAGAGCTGTGTGCTGGCCTGGCACCTGACCAGGAGAACAAAACTAGGACAAAACACAGAACTCTCTCCCTGTCCTGGAAGAACAGGGGAAGCAGAGAATGCATGCCACCCAGGATGTGAGTGGAATAAGAAAACCACCACAGGCAGACACACTTAATGCTCCTGGAGCAGGGGCAGCTGGGTAAAAGCACATAATAAATTGTTCCGTTTTTAAATGCTAGCATTAATTACATTAACACTAACACAAAAATACTAAACTCATTTCCCTGTGAAAACCAAAAATCAATTAAGACAAGCCATAATATTTCAAAGAGGAGTGATTTCACCATAACGCATTGATTTGCTTTACTATTTAATCAAAGCAGCATATTTTAGCTGGGTGTATGATTTTTTTTAAAAAAATTTTTGGTTTGATTGTTTTGGAGAAGCATACACTTGTATTCAATTATATACAATGTTAATGTAATTTAGCCTGCAATCCTATGTACATTTACCTGAAATTAAGTCCTACTGAAGCAAGTAAGGCTTACTTCTGAGTAGACATGTTTAGGACTGAGCTGTCAATCACATTAGAATATAGCGTAGTAAGTGAAATGGGAAAGATAACATGGAATGTTTCATTTGAGTTACTGGACATGCTAGAAAACCTCCCCAGAACTTTTCTTTATACGAATATTTACACTCCACCTGCCAGTCCCAAAGGGGACTAACAACCCAACTGTGAAAAAGGGAAGTGTAGAAAAGAGCGCCCCGCCTCCCCAATGTAGGAAGTCCCAAGCAGGTTCTCACATCTGCAGTTAAAAGGAAGGCATAGCAAGTGACGGGAAGGCTTTCCTACCCAAGATTGTGGACTGTTACTGCAACCAAAACAGGCTAGATGGACCAATAGTTCAACCTGGTTCGGGCTGCTTTCTATCTTCCTAATCAGCAACCTGATATTACAGGAAAGGGTGGGGAGGAAGACCGGCTAAGGCCAAAACTCAGTGGCCGGACACTTGCATGGCACGCCGAACGACCCAGTTCTATTGGTGGTATCTCCAGACACGTTTGGACTACAGCACCCAGAATACCCAGTCAAAGGCCCTGCTGGATGGGAATTCTGGGAGTTGCGGTCCAAATGCCTCTGAAGGCCACAAGCTGGTACTCAATCGCCACCTATCTGTCCTCCTGTTGGGACTGTCTCAGAATAGGAGGGAAGAAAGATGAAAGGCCTTAGGATAACATGCATCCTGGCCTCTCCAATCCCTTTCCCCCTCCTCAGAACCCCTAACTTGTTTCAGCCGACTATCACCAGGTAGCACTTCTATATGTATGCACACCACTCTTCAGGCATGCCACAGCAAATGAGCTAACCATTTTCAGTACCTTCGTTTTTCCCCATACCCTGTCCTATCTTGAAATATTTGCAAATATTCCAATAAAACACATTCCAAGTAAAACTGTGAATGCATCTGTGTGCAAAACCAAGCTAAGTAAAACCAGGCCCTTTGTGTTTTATTCCCCCATGACAAATAATTCTTTTCTACCACATTTGGCTAGTTGAAAAATCTTCGCATACATATACAGTCTGTAAATCAACTAACTTTAAAAGGAAGTCAAAATCTTAAAACAGACATCCATGAATTTAGGGACGCAAATGTTTTCTAGAAATCTGCAACCAGTGTGTGGAAGACAGAACAGTGGGAGTCTTACACAAGTCGTGGTAGTCTTTCTACAATTAAACACTGGGCAGAAGTACAATCAAAGCAGTCTGTCCATCAGTTACGTTGCCAGTTCCATTTTAAAATAGCTGCTTAATGGATATTATTAATGCATAATTGAAAGCTTTCTTATATACAGAACTGGGCTTTTCTCTGACCTGTACCTCTTTTTTAAATCAAGCCCAACTTCTGCCCCTTAGAAGCAAAACCAAACAGGGGAAGGGCAATGGATTGCAGAAGGTCCCACATGTAATCTCAAGTAGGGTTGAAAAAAACCTGCCTGAAACCCTGGAAGGTCTCTACTGGTAAATGGAAACGAAACAAGGTTAGATGGACCAACAAAACAAGGTGAGATGGACCAATGAGTCTGTATAAAAAACCCCCAGTGTTCCCAGGGTAACAGTGCAATCAGAAATGCTTTTACCAACCTGCATTGCACTATGCCTTTAAAAACAAAAACATAGTGCACACACGCACACACAATTGTTGTTGTTGTTGTTACTTGCGACATTGTGTCCGACCCATCGCAACCCCCTGGACAACATTCCTCCAGGCCTCCCTGTCCTCCACCATCCCCCGGAGTCCACCTAAGCTCACACCCACTGCTTCCGTGACTCCATCCAGCCACCTCATCCTCTGCCGCCCCCTTCTTCTTTTGCCATCTATTGTTCGCAGCATCAGGCTCTTCTCCAGAGAGTCCTTCCTTCTCATTAGGTGGCCAAAGTATTTGAGTTTCACCTTCAGGATCTGGCCTTCTAAAGAGCAGTCGGGGTTGATCTCCTCTAGCACTGACCGGTTTGATCGCCTTGCGGTCCAAGGGACTCACAGGAGTCTCCTCCAGCACCACCATTCAAAGGCCTCAATCCTTCGGCGCTCAGCCCTCCTTATGGTCCAGCTTTCACAGCCATACATTGCAACTGGGAAAACCATAGCCTTGACTTTACGCACTTTTGTTGGCAGGGTGATGTCTCTGCTTTTTAGTATGCAATTACACACACACAAAATTACAGCTTTGGTGTTGAATATGCACACTTCTCATGAAGCCGTTCCATCATCTTTACTGCTGTTAGAATTTTTCTCTTGATCATGCCGATGAATGCAGAGACATCAGTCTCAGTACTTTTTCCAGAGCCATTCCACTGCTACACTAAGAACTTACTAAGGTTCCATACAGAGGAAACAGATAAGGGGTTTTTTTTAAATGAGCATACTGCATAGTAAGATACCTCAAGTTTTAGAGGTCAAACTGATGCAGACAAAATGTGAGCCCCAGAGAAAAAACTGCTCCTCTCCAACAACTTGATGTTCTATCCCATCCTATCCTCACAAAGTAAACACGGTTCCTATAAAATATTTCCTTCAAAGTATCTCCTGAACTCAGACATAGAGACTGCTAATATCTCCATTAACTCAAGACAGCAAGAAGACGCTTTAAACACAGGACAGCAATGATCTGTTCTTTTTCCAAGACAAACCTTTTATGAGCTTCAGCATCTCTCCGGGCTTGTTCTAAGGCCAATTCTTCAGCTATTCTTCTCTTCAGTTCTTCTTCATTCACTGGAATTAAGACACAGAAAAGAATAAGTGCCAAGGATTATAGAATCATACAAGAGTAGAGTTGGAAGGGGCCACGAGGCCATCGGGTCCAACCCCCTGCTCAGTGTAAGACACTGAGTTAAGGCATCCCAGTCCGAGGGCTGCCCAGTTGCATCCTTACACCTCTAGTGTGGGAGAGGCCATAACCTCCCCGGGTCATGGCTTCCACTGTCCTACTTAGCAATTAAAACAGGGGCTTCAACGATGCAACTTTTAAAAAAAAATCTTCTTCCATGATAACCATGAGCTGTGAGGTAGGTCACATAGCACTGCAGACAGGTTAACCAGCTACGAAAGTGGGAAGCAAAGAAAGGGGAAGAGTAGAACAGTGGGTTTGGGCAGTATCCTACACTGCCCATGTGGCAGGAAGACTCGCTGCTGGGAGAACGGAGAGCTAGCTGTCCTTAAAGCAACTGAGAAGCAGAAGCACCCCTTCTCAAAGTGCAGTAAGTCAGCAGAGCTCACAGAAGATCTGCTGCTGTTTCAAACCTGGAAATTAGAGTTCTGATAGCAGCAGCAGTATGGGATGCTTCCCAAAACCTCCTCTAAACACACGTTTCATGAACAACATGGAGTTCTGCTGCTTTTCTTCCCAAACTGCTACATCTCTGGAATCACCTTGGAGTCAGGAGCAGAGCTGTAACCATAGAGAGGAGCTGCCAAGCTCCTTCCAAATTGTTTACTGGACAATCCCCACCTACATACCCACAATCATTTTTCCCCCTACAGGAAAAAAGATAAAGTCTACGGAAAGATGCACGCCGTTTGTGTTTCTTTTCACTACCCAGAAAAGTGGAAAAGCAGACAGAATTCCATGACTTGGTTAATTCAGCCCCAAGACACAAATCCAGGGGAAAATTTTCCGAATGCCTGGCATTGAGAAAAGCAATAGTAGCTCTACTAGTGCTTGCTGATTGCAACAATGCACAAAAATCGGGTGTGAGAATGCAGCCTTGGATAGATGGATATAAGCATAAAGGGCACCATCTCGAAAGAGGTTATGTACATACCAATCCCAACTGACTCTGGGTATAGCAGCTATCCTAAATTAAATAGCCTGCAGTGGAAAAGAGCATTCTTTCTGGTACAACCATCATATTTCAGCACCAGACTACCACTTCACTGAATGACGCCTCAAAAATATGGGAGAAAAGAAGGGTAAAAATGTATTTCTTTCATGTTTCCACTAATGAGAAAAAACCCTGTTACACTGCTTCTGAAAGGTATATAGCTTTATTTTTCAAAAGTCAATCATTTGATACATGTTTTGACAAAATTCCCTTGCTTACAAAGACTGCTGCCCAGGAAGCATATCCTACTCATACACTGTACTATTACTTAAGTTTATGAATCACCTTCCTCAAGAAAGACAATCTCCATGTGATTGTTACATGCAGATCCAAAAATCCATAATTAATGCAACAGGAAAAAAGACCCAAAATCAAAAGAAACCATAATCAGCACAACAATATAAGCAAAAATTAACTTCTGATTTTTATTTTTTTTAATTAACACACAATACAAAAAACAGCGAACGTCCCCTTCCTGGACAAGGTTCTTGAGCGGGAGGTTGTCAACCAGCTGCAGGCACTCTGGGATGAGACTGATTATCTGGATCCATTTCAGTGGGGTTTAGACCTGGTTTAGGCACAGAAACATCTCTGGTCTCCCTGCATGATGACTTTCAAGGTTCAATTTGGATGCCAGGAAGCACTTCCTGACAGTTAGGACCCCGAGGGTGTGGAATGGGCTTCTGCGAGAGGTCGCTGAGCCCCATCGGTGAGAGTGTTCAAAGATAGGCTGGACATGCACATGGTGGGCATGTCGTGAGTGGAGCCGGTTGGAGCCAGGGGTCAGACTAGATGACCCGGGAGACCCTTTTCTGACTCACTATGTTTCTGTGCTGGACCTCTCAGCAGCTTTCAGTACCAATGATCATGAAATCCTTCTCCGATGACTGAGCTGGGACTGGAGGGAACTGCACTGCAGCGGTTCTCCTCCCACTTTGAGGCCATCTCTGGATGGTGGTGCTTGGGGAACGTGGTTTAGGCCCGGGATTCTCCAGCGTGGAGTTCCTCGGGGGTCTGTTCCATTCCCCCATGCCATTCGACATCTACATGAAACCAGAGTGGAGTCATCTGGAATTCTGGTATGAGCTGCCACCAGTATGTGAATGACAGCTTTTCTCCTTTTCAACAGCAGGCGAGACTACGGAGGGGCTTTACTGGTGCCTGGCAATGATAAAGGACTAGGTCAAATTCAGTCCAGACAAGACGGAGATGCTGTTGGGGGTGAATTCTTTGGTTGGATGGGGAGTGTTCGACCTGTTCTAAACAGGGCCGCACTCCCCCTGAAGGAGTGGGTTAGTAACCTGGGGGTGCTCCTTGAGCCCCACTGTCACTGGAGATTTGGGTGGCTCAGAGTGCCTTCCACCAGCTTCAGCTGGTAGCACAGCTGCATCCCTGCCTGGCCAGAGATACCCTGCTATCAGTGATCCATGCTCTGGTAATCTCTAAAATAGATTGCTGCAGTGCACACTACATGAGACTGCCCTTGAATACTTTTCGGAAGCCGTGGCTTGTGCAAAATGCAGCAGCCAGATTAGTAACAGGATCAGATGGTCCGATCATTTAATAGGCTTGTGCTGACTGCCTATATGCTTCAGAGCCCAATTCAAGGCGCTGGTTTTAACCTACCAAGCCCCATCAAGCTTGGGACCACAATACCTGACGGAATGCCTCTCCCAACCCTTATCCATCCAGACACTATGATCAAGATCTGGGGTCTTGCTCCAGCTGCCACCTCCAAGGGAGGCTCAGGTGGAAACAACGAGGAGGAGGATCATTTCAGGGGTGCCCCCCCATTACAGAACAAGCTCCCCACCGAGGCCTGCCTGCTGTCAATTTTACAATCTTTTCAGCACTAGGTAAAGACCATCCTCTACTGCAGGGCATTTAGTTACTGGGGCTTGCTGGTTGTTAGATAGGATTTAACTGGGTCTTTTAACATATAATTTTTGTTTTTCAGTTTTATTTGGCTCCAATTTTTGTATTATCAAACTTTTATGATGTCTTAATTGGTATGTTTTTTGTTTTGTTTCTAAATATGCTGCTGCAACTGCCCAGACAGCTTCAACTGTTGGGTGTATAAAAAGTGCATTTGTAAATAAACAAACAAAACTGTGATCATCTGCAATACACAGCACACACAGCCCAGGATGAACACCACAAAGACAGCCAACGATTGGGCCAAAACTAACATCCAAGTGCAAACTCCCTGGCCGTTTACAACAATATGACTTCATGAAGCACTGAAAATAAGATGATATCAGTGCACAAGATTACTTGCTGAGGACAGTGGAAAAAAGGGACTACCACTAAAAAGGCCCCTGCCAACCCCCCAGCTTGTCTCAGGGGGGACTCTCAGAGAAGGCCCTCTGACACCAGCCTCAGGGTTCATATGGGGAGAAGCTGCCCTTGTTGTATTGGGCGCCTAAGACAAGGAGAGTTTTATAGGATAACATCAGGACTTTGGATTTGGTCCATAAACAGATTGGTAAGCACAGTAGATGAGCCAGGATTAAACATAACTTAAATTATATATATCCCGTTTATTATTAAGGATGCGTCAGGAACTTCTGTGCACAGAATAGCTGTTTACTTGGATTTGCTCGGCAAACATTCCCGGTGGATTGTGCCCTTCATCTGACTTCCTCTCCTCTCCTCTCCTCCCTACCTACCTCAGACCCCCCACAAGCTGCTCTCATTCACAGCTGTGCTACAAAACCAGCAGAACATTTTACGCTGCAATTGATCATTAGATTAATCGTAACTCTGGAGAGATACTTTAAATATTTCAAGTCTCAGGTTTGTACCTGACAACACGCACCAATGCATAACAATTAAGGTGTCCACCAACCTATGTATCAGGATTTTTTATTACTCCTGTGTGTGAGAATCTGTAAAAAAAAGGCTAATGGACCACAGACCCAGCTTCTGAAGAGCAATAAATAAGATTTGGGTATCAGCCAATAAAGACATGGCACATTTGACCTTAACAATCAATTAGGTTATGCATTGATCAGCCAGATCCTAATAGGGAATAAAAGTGGAGCTGTAGATCATTAAATAGAAATTCTATTAGCCCATGTAAGCAGCATGGCTCCCAAATGAGAAATTGAAGTAAGCTGAGTAAAGACGAAAGCAGGAAGAAGGACAAGGTATGAGAAATAACTCCTGTAATTTTATTTATCTATCCAAGTGCTTTCAAGAAAACAAATAATTTGACTCGAATTGATGTGTTAAAACTTCTAGGGAGAGCATTCCTATTTGGTTGATGTGAATAAATTGTGTGCAAATAAACCACTGGAGAGTATAGTACAACATAATTACTCCAAGTCTGGTCAGGTTAAGGTCACCTAGAGAACACATATTACTGGCAGAGAATCTCATTTTTCTCCAGGCAAATTCTGAGGGTATATACCAGGCACTCACAAAACAAGTCTGAGACATGATTATGGAGAAGTTGGTCAGGGAACAAAAGTGTTTTATACTTCCCTCAGACATCTCCTGCTGCAAAATGAGGACAAATCCAGCAGAGGACACATCATCATCCTAACACAGGATATTTGTTTAGATGGTCTTCAAGTCCATGAACTCCAAAACCATGTTTTGTTGAAGTGGTGAAGCTGAAGTTGCCAGCAGCAATGTCACACAGAACTGCCACGTCACACAAAATCAGCATCCCCATGTCAGATTCATGTCCTATCATTTACCTTCTGTTTCATCCCTGGGAATTTCCCAGCCTCCGGCCCAAAGACACAATGATGCCACCGAAACAAAAGATAAGCAATAGGACAAATTGCAGGGAAGAGCAGCAGAACTCAACATGCAGCTGCCATTTTGACCGAAGGCCCATGTCCATATAATGCATAACATCTGCAGGACAAACAAAGCAGAACT